TAGGGTTAATGACTAATAAAATATAAGTTCTTACAAGTGTGATATGTTTCTTGGTTACTGTTAGTCACAAGTCTAATGGCTGATAAGTTCTTACAAGTATGATATACATATTGGTTGCTTTTAGTCATGCATTTGTTCTCTCTGCAGGAAATGTATACTGTCTTTACCCTCTGTTGTCTTTAGGTGTACCAACACAACATCTATGCAGAAGGGATGAAGTTTCACTCATTCAAGAAGGTGTTGACAGAAATGGGGCCACCATACAGTGACATGGAGTTGGCATCCTTTATGTCTGCATCCAAGGGATACATGGGAGAGTACGTTCAGATCATCTTAATAGATAAACATTGCTTATAGTTAATATATGTAGTGTATGTCTGCATCCAAGGGATACATAGGAGGATATGTTCAGGCTGTTTTATTAGATAAAGCTTGCTTATACCTAATGTTTCAACTTATGTCTTTATCAAAGGTTAGGTTATAACCCTTGATAAAAACATAAGTCAAAATGTCAGGTACATTAAAAAGTTTTATTTCCCTTAAGTTTGTGGTCATGTTTATTTTAGTAATAATTTCTAGCCTCTAGTATACACTTAGACATCTGAATTTAAATAATAAACTTTGCTTGACTGAGATACTATAAAAATTTAGAAATGGTTGTGAAAGGCTAAAACAAACAGTGAAATACTTTTATACTAAAATATATGATGCATTAAGGTATGACACCAAGTTTGATGTAGTACTGTTTTAGACACCCCACTAACTTTAAGGTATACTTAAAATATTAGGTCATCAAGAAATTAATGTTGCATTTTGGAACATGTTCATTTACCACCCCCCAAAAAATGTATGTCATGTATAATAGTTAAATGAACTGCCTGAATGTCACATTATTGTTGCCCATATTTTGTGTAAAGTTTAGTATACTCTAATCCCTTATAGCGATGGCACATGATGAATCACACATTCGGAATGTAATGCTGTTTGAATACAAGAAGGGAAACAG